CTTGTTATTTCTTAAAGAAAGGAGTTTAATAATATCTCAATTTTATTTAGGGTGTTCCTATGACGTCACTGAGGTTTCTTTTTGATGGTAAAAGAATTAATGATGATGAAACACCAAAGCAGGTAAATTTAAATTTAAACTTAAAAATCTAAGTTAAACATTATAGAGTTGAAGAATTCATTGTAGTTTTATAATATAGATAATTTGTAAAATTAAAAGCTACCATTGACAAATATTTTTTATGGATTAATTCCAACATTTGCTTATGGTTATCATGGTAAGGTGTTATGAAATTATAATGTATGATGACAGGTAGCATAATATCAAAATTATTTTTCAGCTGGAAATGGAAAATGATGATGTTATTGAAGTATACCAAGAACAAACAGGTGGTCACTACTGAAGAAATTAAATCTCTTATTCAGTTTTAATATCTTTTAAAGTGAAAGTGACTATCGTAAAGAAATGGACAAGTTTATCAGTATATATATATGTATGTTAAAAAACATTATGTAATTTGGTTTTTTATGTAACATTTTGATGTGCTGTTCTACATTCCTGTAACGTGGCAAGTTTAAGGACCATCAACAGTCAGTTTCATACAATGTATACATTCATCCATCAAAAGCAAAACAAAAAAAAAACAAAATAGAAAAAAAAATTATGCCTTAATGCAGTGAGTTTTGTCCATTAGTAATATCTGGCAATGTATTTGCATTTTACAAATTTCAGAATCTTTAGTTTTAGATCGCGAAATTTTTCAAAAAGTTAATGTTTTGTTATTAAATCACGAAAATTATTATATGATGTGAACATGATTTGAACAAAATTGTTGCGTTTAAAATACGTCTATAATAAAAAAAATAATTGTAATATTTTTCCTTTGCCTTTTTAATGTAATTGTAATAGAAACAAAAGTGTATTCAACTTCGAAACTATACATCGCTAATTCGAAAGTTTTTTCTTTTTTGACGATTATGACATAATTAATTCGATGTAAGTAATGTGGATGCTTTTGCAGAACTTTTTATAATAGATTTCAATTTTCACTATAAGTAAAGTAATATGTACCACAATAATGAAGATGTACATTATTACATAAGATAAAATTAGCACCTATGCAGTGTTTCACTTTACATAAATGTCAGTAACATTATCATGTTTTGAATGACACTATTTGAATTGCAATGATATTAAAACTTGGACCAAAGACTTACAGATTTGCTAATCTTTTTATACCTGTAGCTTCGAGTTGCAGCCTTATAATTCTATATAGGCATCCTCATTACAATATAATTATTCAATGATTTAACGGGACAAAATTTTTACAAATTGTAATAAAATTTATTCTTGTACAGATAAGTAACATAGTTTTTGTTTTCATTACTGACTTGTAAAAATTGATTAGCAGTTAGTTAGTTTAAATAAGTAAATGTAATAATTATATTACTTTTAATAGTATCTTCTATTATGAAATGTAACACTTGTTGAGTGGTAGAAATAATTAAACAGTAATAAAATATAAGTTCTCATTTTCGTAATAAAAGCAGAAAATGATTTTGATAATAATATTGTAATAATCGTTAGATTTGCGGCCAAATTGCATCTACGTTTATCAAGCTTCATCAATTGCACAATCATGTTTGCATCTGCCAATAGCATAAATTACTTGTAATAATAGTTTAGAAAATAAATAATTCTTCATCTTTCTCTACTTCGTTTGTATACGGCTAAAAAAATAGTTTTAAAGAAAGAAATATATGTAGATTCTAAGGCAACCTTTTCATTTAATAGAATTGCTTTTATTTATACATTGAACAGAGTTGATAATTGCTATTATTACTAACTTTTTAGCACTTCTTAATGTATTATTCGCAAATTTTTAACATTACAAGCGGACATTCGTAAAAATAATTAACTATGTACAGATCATCTTGAGTTAACTAGTAATCCTAATATGTGGCGTCCTACCATTATTACACATTTATAGTGACCTATAACCTGGAAGAAGCAATTTTTTGCTTCTGTAATCATAGTATCACAAAAATTGAAATTTCCAAAGGAAAATTTTTGTTGTATAAATAATATTTTATTGAAAATCAAAATATGCAACAATAAAGTTTTTAGTAAAATGTCTGCATACAAATTGCTTCTTCAAAAACAATAACAACTTAATTGCCACAGTTCAATCGCTTAATTAGCATTTATGCACCGGTGCGAAAAAATCAGCGAGTAGATAAATAGTTCATTCAATAAAATGAGTTTATAGGTTCATATACACAGCCCATAATATGCATACAGAAAAATAATGCATCAAATATTGTCTGAATCATGATCCTCGATCGGTGAATAATTTCTTACAATTTGTAATGAACTATTAGAAAAAATTCACGTCATAAAATTAGAACAAATACTATTTTTACAAGAGAAAATTTTACAATAACAATTATGTGGTGTTAACAACAATCTCACTTATTATTGCTTCTTAACATTTTTGCCGATTTAACATGAAAATTTTCCCTTCACCTTGTAATTAAAGATCTATGCACAATTAATCTTTCTGCTCTGCTTATATAAATTCAGAATCAGTTAGAGTAAAACGTGTTAGGAGTTGCAACAAATCATACAGAGATTTAGAATCAAGTTCATTATTAAACTTATTCAGAAACAGAGTTCTTACAATAAAGACATCAGTCTTCGATTTTGTCATGTTTACAGATTTAATATTATGCTCTGTATTTTTCGATTTACAATAGCGAATTATAAAATATTTTATTTCTGAACAAACCGAATACAGAAGAAAGTTTTGAAACAAGGTTTTTAATAATCAACAAAATTATTGTAATAATAAATTATAGGATTCTCTTTCTATATTTTCTCTATATTAAAAAGAAGCATACAAATGCTACACACTAAATAAGTACTTTTTTTTTATTAGGACATAATTTATATGTATATACTTAAATAGAATGTACAATGTTTCATTCAAAACATACATTTCTTCGAATATAATCTTTCAGGTGTTGTGACTATAAACAATATTAGTTCAGCTCTCACCTCATTTTTTTCTTGTAATACTTTCATTCAATATTATGTCTACTTACTCATTGCATCATAATAAATATAATTATCCATAAAGTATTAGAGCGATCTGTTAATTCTTAAAGCGCTGTTATTTCTTGGCGAGGCATTGTATGGGAATAAACCTGTTGAAAGTCTTCGACTTGTTTCAAAGTACCAGTTTTGAACACTGTAAAATGTTACAGTGCGTCACGATGCCATACCCATGTTTTTTTCGTATGATCAAACCTATGTGCTAGCCATTGTTGTTCTAATAATTGATATCTCTCTTGACTTAAGTATAGAGGTTTCCCGCGTCTATAATACAATATTAATAAAGTATTAAAATTTCTATAATGATAAAATATGTTCAAAAACATAAATTTAAATTTATGATAAAATAACATGTTCAAAAACATGAATTTAAATTTATCTAAAAACGAGTTGCAATTTCTCATTAACACATAGTAATAATAATATTAAAAAATGGAATACTTACTTCAGATCTCTATCTTCTTCCTCAAAATCGTCGAGGTATAAAGAACCCCATAAACAAACTCGTTGACCTCGAATTACAACAATATAAGTGGATGTTACCGATAGATATATACCAGTTCCGCCGCCGCAATCGATCGAGTGCTACATATTATGTATAAAATTCTTACTTGAACAACTTCGCATACATTCAATTGCTTGTGGTTTTGTTTTATACAAATAATGGCGCCACATAACAAACAGATGCTAATCTTCTGTGGAATCGAATGACCTTGACGACACTGTCGTCCATGATAATACTGAAAAGTAAAAGAAAAAGAAACGAACATTTAATAAAATCAGGATTATTTAAATAAATGTATTATATGTATATTATATGTATTCATACCGTAAAAATTTTGTCATATTCCCTTGGAAGACTAAGTAACTTCGGTACCTGCCACGATATGTGCTGCTCCATGATTAAATTCCTGCTTCGACTTACAAACGGGAGAAATTGATGACACCACATACTAGGCACTGATACACTGGCCTGGTTATCTTGCCAATTCAAAGCTACCGCTGAATTGAAATGAATGAGTTTCGTATCTTTCAAGACTAATTTCAAATAAAAGACTAATTCCGCGAATTCAGACTGTGGTTTCTTAATAACGGGTAATGGTTTGTCGTACAAGTGATAACGCAGTAATGCAGCCACTCGTAAAAATGGTAAGCACATAGATTGTATCTGAAATAGTATAATTGAAAATATGGGAATAATGTCATAAAACCATGGAAAGGATTGCGAATAACATTATTAACTCTTTATTCTTACCTGATCGTCGATACTGTCCATCTCAAGTATTGAATATGATGAAGTGGATGGATTGTATAAAACATCATCTGAACGGTAAAGTGCACTATCCTTAAAATATTCGATGATCCTGTAGAGTATAGTTTCTGAAGACATGAAATTGGGTTCGAAAACGTGAATTGGATGAAAACGACATTCTCTCCTTAGAAGTGCATTTCTTTCTGCTTGTGTGAGACCGCAGCTTATTTGTACTATTACTTGATAGTACAATAAGTTAAAAAGTACTTTTACCACGGTAGAGAAATACGCTGAAAACAATTCATTATTTGACATGTTACAATTTGTTAAATCGTTAAAACATTTTTACAAACAGATCTATATACTTACTCTGATCCAAATCTACATAAAGCGCTAATATATAGTTTATAAGAAGTGTGGTTGGATCTCTGAGAAGTAAAGGAACGGCTTTTTCCCGTACTATTAAACGTGGGTCAGCAGGTAGCCCGCACAGTTGTTGCCAAGTCTGCTGAATCAGAAAATTACCCTCTACTTTTTTATTCCTTGCCAGAACCTCAAGAAGTGCAGCTTAAAACAAAACATTTTTAGTGCAAGATCTACTATCATGGTTATCATTAACTATCATCAATAATGGAATAAATGAATTTACCAATGCAATCACGTTTTGGCCTTAAAGGTATTGTAGTGGGTGGAGGAATACACAATGACCCACCGCGTTGAACAAGTTCAATTTCGATATTAGTTCGAGCTATAGAAGTTGTAGAAAGAAACAAACATTCGTAATAATGTTCTCGTGAACATTTATAACGTGCACGCCGTGTCATATCTTCCAAAGCTCGAGCGGATATATCAGACCAAATTGTTTTTTTTCTCTGTAACTAGTAAGTATTGCCAATTACTAAAAGTATTTAAATTTGTAATTAAACAAAGATTAAAATGTTTACCCATCTTCCATATGATACAGTTTGCAAAAGATTATATATCTCTGAAAGTATTGCAACAGGGGAGGTAAGTTGAGAGCCATTTCGCATGACTGCTTCAGGTTTTTTCACTTGTGGATAAAGTGGAAGAAAACAATTAGCTAACTGCCGACAAAGCGGACACAGATATTCGTTTTGATCTGCAGCAAGAGAAAACTGTCTTTGTTCAATATGAAGGGACTCGAGATATGGCACGAAACAGTGTATATGTAAGTGGTGTCCACACGTTTGAACGTTCACTCCACCTTCCCAGCCTACATTAACGGATAATAGCAACGAAGTCTGGGAAACATAAATAAAAATGTATATAAAATGTTTTACTACGATCAATAAATATGTTAAAATTAAAATATTTACAGTATCAAAATGGTGGCTCATTTCATCCATTCTGCGTTCAAAGTAGGCACCACGTGTATTACCCTTTGGTATAGGTGGATCATCATCAGAAGTAGGTAAAACCAATCTACCTGGTTTTTGTCGTTCATGGCCAATAACACTTGTTCCCTAAAGAAGAGTTTGTACAAAAATATTACACGAATATTGTAAAGAGAATGAAAATTCTATTACTCAAAGTATTTAATTACTTGAACTAATGCAACAAGACCCATATTATTTCTTTCAGTGCTGGGACTACTTTGACCGCAAATAACGCAATCATATTCTTTTTTGCTGGTTACTTTTGTCTTACTACCCTTTTGATCCCAATCCATGCCAAATATCCCTGCTTCATGTGAATAAAAATTAATAATTCTTAATTTTCCTTTTCTTATTACAAACATCATATCTAATTCTACTCAGAAAATTTTACTTCATGATACTTAATTTTTATATCTATTTTACCTGTTTCCATTGTACTCTCCATGAACTGTTTTTGCTTATTGGCAAATTCAGCCATTAATTTTTGCTGCCTTTCTTTTGCCCGTCTTCTCCTTTCCTCTCTTTCCCGGTGTTCCTTTTCTCGTTGCTTATCTTCACTCTCTTGCATACTTGACCATAATCTGTTCCTAGCTTCATTTATAGCTTCTTTGCACATAGGATCTAAATTTGCTATTTTATTAAGTAGTTGTCCAATAAAGAATGGGCCATCGCCAATTCTTGATTCTGCTGGTTCTACAGTTGAACTACTACTAGCTTCGTTATCCGACATTGCACTTTGTTCAGGATTATAACTATCTGGGACACCTGATAATTGTGAGTGCAATCTCAATAGTAACGTAATTATACTTTCGTTTACTTGTACTGTTTGTGATTGTAATGATCCACCCTATGCAAAGAAAAATTCATAAAATAATAAATAATAAACTACTAGATATTATAATTAGTATACTCGATTATACACAATATAATGTAAATTAATATAACTTATTACCTGAACATCTCTTCTTTTCAAATGTTTGTGAGAATTTGAAGTAGATGGAACAATTTCTGTTGTTGTTACTCTAGAATTACCTAGCCTCGAGTACACCGTTGGAGCAGCAACTATTTCGTTGCCAGCCATAACAGCGGGCCGTTGAGAGGCAGGTGGTAATGCGGGTTGACCACCAATATCTATACATAATTAATAAATGTTAGCTTTTTTATAAACGTGCAGTTTTAAGGCAGAATTGCACTGGTGCCCGTTTATCGATATTTCCTCAAAGTATTATTAACATTAACTTTTAATTATGGAAGGGAATACAGCAAAACATTGTAACAGTACAAAACGCACGACATCAATAAGAAGGACATAACTATGGTTAAGGTGATCAGACTGAGTAACATACTGTTTGGTAAAGGAGGTGATTCAAGGGTCATGGATTCTTCGGTGGATGGTGGCAAAGCTCTTCGTAAAGGTATTAAATCATCTTCACTATTAGCTTCTCTTATACTAACAAGTCCATCTTCAGATAAAAAAATTATATGAGATCGATTTATAAAATAGCAAAGAAAAAAAAGCAAAAGATCATTATGATATCATGTTATATGATACTTTAGTCAACACCGAAACATCCATCTTACAATTAAGAATATTTTAGTTACATTTTGGTTTATATACAAAATATACTGCACATTGTAATTGATGGTGAAACAGTCTAAAATACAATGGGATTTACATATACATAAGCATAAGAGGATTATTTTGAATATACACATATACAAAACTTGTAAAAATACAAGTGTAATTACACTTGATAATGCAAATATTTTTGTTTACATAAGTTTTTTGAATACTTAATATCTTTTCACTTAAAGTAATTGAAATTATTTTTTATTAAATGTTTACTACAAAATACTTTTTGTAATAATTATCTAAATAATGTGTATAAATAATACAGTTTATTCATAATTTTACTCACTGTCTGAGCTACTAGATTCTGACTCTTGGACTAAAATGACTTCTGGTATCACTGTCCTCAAATTTTCAGACAAATTATCACCTTTATACCAACCAGCAAGATCCATGTCTTTTATTATACGAGATGGTTCTTCACTAGTATAGTGACATAAAGGATTTATCTGATAAAAGGAAAAGAAATAAAATTAAAATCAAAAGATTCAATAAGAGTATAACAATTGTAATTTTATAATTTTGTTACCATTAATTACTTACAGATTTATCAGGTATTTCTGCAGTAATTACTGCCATTTCTAATAGGTAAATAGTCAGTGCCATTACACGCTCTGATATCTTATGTCGATACACAGCCTTATACAGAATTATTAAAATTATGGCATGAAAAACTCTAGATCGTAATACGAGTCGTGGATCATCATATGCAGGTGAAACAGGAGCAGGATGTCTAAATGGTGGCCATGGAATTACACTATTTTTCAATTTACCTGACTGCTTCACACTGAAATATTTATAAAATATTTAATGCAAGAATAACAATAATTATAAGAATTGACATGAACAAGATGACTTTCCATATACTAAAATAAATTTAGCAAAAGCAATATTTCTGTATTTATTAAAATTGGGCCTTTGAATAAAGTTTACTTACTACTCAGTAAAACGATCCATTGACATTTGAAAATCTCCCTTTTGTGCTGCTCTTAGTAAAACATGCAAAGGATCAAATAATTCTTCCCAAACACATGATTTTGGACCATACATTCCTTGTTGCATATTTCCACTAGCTTCAAGATTAGGAGCTCTATATACTGCTACCTGTGAATCATGTTTTGCAATTCTATAATAATGAAAGTTAATTTTTATATCTTTTGAAAAAAGACAAAACATACATCAGCTAATATAGATTCAAAATCTCTACTTTGAGTACTGCTACAACGTTCTGGCATTAATTCCATTAATTGACTATGAGTTTTGTCTCCCATAGACAATAAAGTAACTATTTCCAAGCGGGAATTTTCATCATCAGACAAACCTAAAACAAGAACATATTTATTGTAGATATGTGTTTATACTGTTTCAATAAAAATAATAAAGCTTACCTAAATTTGTTCGAACATTAACTAATGTAGCTAAAAATGTTAAACAGCTTTCTAACATAGGTGTCTCAGGTTCTTCATCCATATACTCACTTTGAGATGTTAGATATAAACTCATTTCTTGTTTTATGTGGAACCTAGTTAAACAAAATTATTGTCACAATTCTAATTTAAAAAATAAAATTGATATGTACTTCTTAAAGTGTTAACAATTACTTTTTAATGACTGTTTTTAAAAAAACATCTGGTTGAAGTTTTGTTGCACAAACTTGTAATAGATAAAGATCTGCATCTACCATTGAATTACAAAAATTGCATTGTATGTATGTCATAATTTGACCCTTTATTTGAAGACCATTTCGCACCCACAATCCATTTAGAATCTCATAAAAGGCAACCTAAAAAAAAGTTATTATTATAATTTAATTTTAATAATTCTTAATGTTAAAAGCTATAAGAGATGAATTAACAAAAGACCTATTTCCTAAAGTGTATTGTTTAATTTCATATCTATGAAAGGCTTTCATTGAAAGCATTGTCTTATAATGTATGCATAATGCATACAAATTCTAACGGTACTCAAACAGATTCTGCCGCGATTTTTGATCTTCTTATAAATATCTATTAAAACTGCTTTGAAACTATTTGAACTATTTCGTTCATTTCTAAATACTATAAATGAATATAAATATATAAAACAATTTTTATTATTTTGAATTATAAAACATTCAAATACATTGCTAGTATAAGAGAATCCGTTTTTAAAGTCTATGATATTACGTGCTGAATCGGATATTACGATACGTACTCCTTTATTGTGTAATAAATAATTTGTAGTTTCTCTTGGATTAAAAAGCAATAAGTAATACGTTTTTTAACCCGTTAATTCCTAGTCGGGGTGCTTCTGACATTAGAGTGGGTAAAAATAAGTCCTAAAATGAATTTAAATCTTTACATATTAACAATTATTTACAATATTTATTACGTCGATTAAAAAAGAAATACAATATACGAAACATTTGAATTCTAAATGTAAAAGTATCCAATCGCTTTATTCGACCAATCCCGTGACTGGAAAACATTCCAACGTCCTGTTACCAGTTCCTACAACCCCACCATTTCGGACAAGAGGTTACAGATCGTAGATATATTTAGTTTTAAAAGAGCTGACGAACATTGTTCTTCGTGTGGTTAATCCTTCAAATATTTTCGGAAAATTTCATTTGATTTTTTCCATAATTGTTATTTATACCTTCAAAAACTGTGATACTGAACAAAGGAGTTCAATGATTGATCGACGAAAAGAAACAAAGGAGAATAAGACTAGATTAGTGTTATGAACTTCAATTAATTATTTTTAATTTAATTCTTTTCCACTGAAACATCAAATTAAATTGGAAAAGATGACTGTAATTAGTAGAAAAAGTATTTTTATTTGCCTGCTGTTTAGTTTACAACAATGTGCAAATGGTTTTAAGATTGGTTATGTTGATATAAAGGATTTAGTAAAATTTGGTTATGATATAGCGATAGAGGCTTCTGAAACGTGGAATTTAATAAATACGAATCCTGAAAGTGACAATAGTTTGCCAATCCTCAGTAGAATGGAAAAAGAAATAAAAAGTCGTATAGTCAGAGTATCAGACAAAATCGACTCTTTCCAAGAACAAATGGACGTACATTTGGATGCAATTGTAGCTAAACTTTTAAATGATATACCGTTACGTGAAAAATTGGACCGTAAGATACAAATGCTAGAACAATTTGTCGGACAGATAAATGATTTATACAACATGTTCGTATTGTATTCCAAGGCAATTAACAGATATGAGAAATACACATTAGAAGATTTTGCTAAAACATGTGTATCCTCGAGATCGGGTGCTCTTCCTGACATTTTGAAAAGTATTCATCGATTATTTGTTCCTTCCGCCGACGAAGTCCTCTCCAGAAGTATTCTTATATTATTGGCAAATCAAATGCATGTAAGTAATTATTGTATAATTTCAAATAGATTTTCTATCAAAAAATTTGCTCAAACGAAAGGACATTAATTTTACATTTTAAATAATTTATTATTTTTGAAATAAGAATGTTCGTCGATCTACTATTAACAAATTTAGTCTATCGTGTCTATTAACTATGAAGAGGTATACTAGGTGCGGAAGAATATTATAGCGATCATGTGACATCCAACAATCTGTATACCTATACCTATTTAAGTTATAAACTTGTTGGCTGTGATATTTATTAAAAAGTTATCTACTTATATTATATCAATTAAACAGAATATAGTTGATACTGTTATAATTAAATTCAAATTAATGTTTACAATAATATAAATAAGAAATATGGATAAAGTTAACGATACTGGAACATACATAGTGCAAGTTTACCTTGTACTCGTTTATTCAGACTATCTCTTTCGGAAATATCGTTAGAAAATACATTTCATGCAATAAATAAGAAAAGAGGTGAGAAAAAAGGAGACATGTTATTCAAATATCTGTCAACCAAACTTTTGTACAATACAGTTTTATATCTATTTCCTCGTGAAACATAATTATCAAAGAATTGCAACGAGGTGGCTACATAGATCGAAAAATTGTCACCGTGTGAACAAAATTCTATGAAACCATTGTTGAAAATACATTCAATTAAATGCAATGATTACTTTTTCTTATATTTCTGGTAAACTAAGTTTTCGGCACCTAACAATAAAGGAAAGAACGGAATGCAATGTTTATCTCGATGCAACAATGCGCTTCTTTGTATAAATGGTTTAACAATGAAGAGAGTAAGAGAATGAAGAGGAGCATGCGCAGAAATACGTAGACCATTAAACCTCGAACCATCTCAACTCGAGAGGGGAGGAACAGAGTTAAATATTGGCTGAATAATGCGAAACTCTCAGTAGAATTTAAACCGGCGAGGAGGACGAAAAAGCGCTCAGCCTGGTGGTGCTTACTTTCGTTGTGTCAAAAATACGATAGAAATTGTTCTCTAATTATTGGAAACTATTGCCGAGCGAATGTTGGTACAATGGTGTGTACAGTGACACAAGTTCAGATAGTTTGAAACTCACAATCGGAGAAGTTCAAATTACAAAACGTCACATAAAGAAATGTGACAGTCTCCCGGGTTTCAATTTTCTTAGGTTATGCTTGAAACGCTTGAATTAATCATGCTAACCTTTCACGACCTATATAACTTTGAAACGTTACTTTCCATTCGTTAAGTTAACAGCACTGTGAAAATACACGAATACCGAATTAAAATTTTTTTGGGGGCTTTGATAAAATGTGTGACGTTGAAGTATACTGTGTATAGGACAAAAAGTAACATTGATAAACCTTACTTCATAATATTGTCGGAATAACAGTACTGCCTTCAAGTTTCTCATATCGTTTCATCAGTATCGTCCTGAACGCTGACGCCGCACATGGGTTTCCCGCTGTATTTAAGCACGAAAAATTGAAACCCTTAAAAGGTTTTAGTGTATTTTAAAATTGTTTCTCGATTAAAAGTAAAGATATTAAAAATAATTTAAACTTCCGATTTTAAAGCTATCTGTTTGTTTCGTAGTAACAGCAAATACTAAATGTAATTTGTAATTCATTGTGATAATTGCCAATACAATATTTGACAATGGCAAAGAATGTTTTGTGTAATATAATCTTCGACAAAACAAAGTCCGTTCATATGTACTCAAATGGAAATCGCAATGCAAGGTCGATGAAAAGTGATTTTTTAATATGGTCATATCGAATCGTTGAATCAACAAGCGTTAAAAAGTAGTTAGTTTCTCAATAAAAAAAAAAAGAGAGGTTATAATGCACCTACTGGCGTGTGACGTACGTGTAATAAGATTTGTGATAGATACGACGAAACCTTAGGTGGGGTTGTTCCTAATATGATCGAACCGATTTCCTTTCTTTTTTCCAATGACTCTATTTTCTCTCTATTTTCAACAGACATATGCTACTTTATAATACGCGTCATAATAGATATGAATTTAAATTGAATCAAATAGAATTTTCAACCAGACATTGTTTCTATAATAAAAAAAAGCTACTTTTTAGAGATTTGCATAAAAATAAAATGTAACGATGTGAGAAACTTGTGTCAAGGTAGAAAGTGAAGCGCCTAAAATATCGGTTGTTGTTGAAACCACTTAAATTGCCGGAAGCACTAATAATTACATACGGATGTGAGTCACGTTTAAGTGAATTAAACGTGATCCGTTGGAAAAAGTGTTATCAATCCATAATATATCGTCGAGATGTCAAATGTAATAGTCGTGACAGGTTATACGTTGACAATCTTTTCCGAGAAAGAAGTACATGGTATCGTTGTAATTTGATTACTGACGTATCTAGTTTTTAATGCAGTCAGCATATTCGACCCTTACTATCATGCATACTTGTGATTAGCGAAACGTTTGTGTGTGTATCTCGCTTACTACAAGCACTATGAAACAAATATTTGACATTTTGCTCTCAAAGATTTGAAGGACGCTAGACAATGCAACGTAAAGTTTGGCATTCGCTTTGAACAATACGGCGAATCATTATTTCTTTTACGAGTAACAGTTGACGCGCTCTTATGTTGTGAGAATATTAAGAATATCAACAGGATTTTAAAATAATGTTAAAAAGTTACATTTAGGATTTTAACAAATATAATTTTATTAAAATATAAATTGAAACCATAACGGGAAAGTGAAAAACCATACATACACCATTTCGCACACATTTCAATTTTACACGCCTGTGTATAGGTACTGTATGCCGTAACGGGTCAAATATAGAAGCTCCGCACAACTACAAACAGTCAAAGGCGAAACCAAATACGTATCAAGTAACAAAGAAAAAGAAGAACAAACATAATGAAGAGTCCAAACATCTTGATATGCCTCTTGTTTCTATCTACAATATGTGGAACAAGAGGAATACGTTACGACGTTACGGTTATCGATGGAATGCGTAACAAACTGTTGCAACTTGAGGAAAGCTTGGAAAACGATCTATTTAATAAAAACATGTTCCAAGGACGTGAACAGGAGAAATATCTGTGGCTCATAAATAACTTTAAGAAGTTTGGTGATGAACTAGAAAAACGCATCCCGACTAGTGGTTACGAATATTTAAATTCGTTAAACAATGTTCCTCTGTGGGTTCTAACAGAGCATGAACTGAGAGAAATCGAGAGTCTGTACAAACTTTTTCGTCTATTGCAACGCGACATTATCGACAGAGGAGACGACCTCGATCTGCCAAAACTAACCGATTTTTTGAGTACCATGCTTCAGCATCCGAATGCGTCAATTGTTCATGCGCTTGATCGAATTGGCAAAGCAATAGTGCAAGAACGATTGTTCGTTTCGGCTTATCAGGTACAACAATAATGCATTAAAAGGAAATTCACGAAGGTGATCAAAGTAGCGATCGAAGTAGTTCTTTGATAATTAGATATTACAAAATTGAAATTTTAATACGAGAGGGTTAGAGTTAATCTTATGATGGAAACTATTCGGTTAACGTTTCCCTCTTTACTAATTAAATTTACATTTTTGCAGGAAGCGTCCTCACAAATATGCAACGAGAATCAGTCGCTTCAGCAGTTACTATACAATCTGTACAGTACGGTGACCTTAGCAGAAATCAAGGGTTATAGTGTGATCCAATTTTCCTATAAGCTGTTGCGACTTTATACTCCAGGTATATTATACTGTCTATAGTCTGCAAACTATGCAGCTTGGTATAAAATTCTTACTGACTCTGCAGTTCAATGAAAATGTTTAATAGTATTTTAATATCATATCAAAGAACGTTCTTGTTGCTCAAAGTTGTACAGCCGATTATTGGCCACGATTTACTAGCTAAGAATAACCTTTGGAAAATTTACTTTCTGACTGTAATAAACTCGATGCAGGTGCTAACTTCACCGAAGAAATGAAAATAGTAAAGCAACAGTACGTGACGAGAACCTTAGAAACAATACGAGCTGTAAAAACAGCCATGGCTTTTACTCCAAGGCAAGTTTGGAAATGTGATCCGAAAGAACATAAATTAGGTATGTTTTGTCGCTGTTGTGCATCCTCATGTAATGAAGAATAAAATTGAAACAATTGTTACAGATGAAACATACACTAAGTTGACAGAGTTATTCCAAGGATACATTGTGAACGAGGTGGATTTGAACGGAAAATCAACCTGCAGAGAAAACTGCGGTTATTACGAGTATACGAAAGTGCATGGATGTTACCAAAATCAGTTTTGCGACCAACAGCGTAGATGTAAGGGTCGGGTACTAAAATGTGAATACATCGATTCCGATATGTGGATTTGCCCTGCGGTAAATTTAATTTTCTCCCTACATATAAATGGCATCTTTTGCAAGAAAAGCATCACCATATGTTCATAAATTATTTTAGTCACAAAACAGTGACCGAAGATACGAATACATACAATATAAAAATGGTAACACGTTTGGACAAAAAAATACTTGCAAAAACCCGACAATTAAGGTCAACAGCTGGTGGCGTTGGTTGTTTTGGCATTGCAGCTATTGTTTTTGCTACTGTGATGATAGTCACGCGAACTCTGATCGATACTTTAGCTTGCGAAAAGTTATGTCTGACGTGGCGAACAACAAGTATGTAGCCTGCTGTGCTGAAGACAATTATAGGAAGAATTTTATGCGAGATTGTTAAGTATATAAATAACAATAATGATATTCGTTGCAGAGTGGTGACAGGCATCCGGTTTAAGAAAGTGAATCAAATAATACATATGCAAATACAGCAAGGTGAATTAATGTCCCGTGGAAACATCAATGAAAGTACTATAGAATGGAAACCGGTGGACGCGTTTAATATATTAGATAGTAACGTTACAAACTCCGTTGATTATCACACTTTATCGTGGGAAAAAAGAGGCTTGGATCTAGATGATTATGTTCTTGATGGAAAATTTCTTCTAACAGGTAATACTAAATAAAAATTATAACGTTATCCTTTTACGAATATTATGCTTACAACATCTACTTTTAGGTGTTAAATTTCGAACACTTGGTTCACGTTTAAATTTAGAAGTAAGAATGACACCATTTAATTTCACGACTGGAAAATTGTTAGAACCAACAGAGAAAAGCTTCTGGATTAGTCATGATAAAACCGACAGGTAAAATTTTTGTTGTGTATCATAAATATTTTCTACTAAATGTGATTTAGTTTATCTTACGTTACTTTTGTTACCAGGTATGAATTGGCATTTCCAAACGCTGATATACCAACTCGATCACCTCTTTTAACACTACCGGACTCGAAAGAGGATAACTACATAAATTTTACACCAAGCAGTCGTAAAGCTGATGCTGCACAAAACACAATACCATTTGTGGACATTCAACCAGTAGAATTAAAGCCACCAGTTGCAATAGCAGGTGTTGGCGTTTTTCATAAAGGTCGAACCGGGTCAGGTGGATATGTAGCGTTGAGATTAATTACATATGATTATAGTCCACATTTACAAGTTAACGTAACTCCTACTATAGAAACAGTTGTTGGTGCTCTAAGTGCTCCAGATGCAGTATGAATGTATTTGTACGCGCATATTATTATTGATACTCTAGTTCGTAAATATTCTTCTGTGTTTTAATTCTATTTTCATATGTCTTTTGTTAAATTATGTTTAAATCAAATACATATAAAAAGTATTTCTGCATATTATTTACAAAATTTGAGTTATCTACAACTAACTATGATAATAACATTTGTTTTTAACAATTCTTGATTAAATAATTATTTTTTGTGCCATTTTAGCATCCATGTATATGTATGTTAAAGCAGAGTTTCACTGCATTTATAATTTTTTTTTGTATTTTATTAGTTTATAAAAAGTTATTTTAAAATTTTTCAGATGCTCTTTTAATAAAAAAAACTTATATATTTCCTAAAAATAACTACTATTAAAGTAACGTAAAATAATTCATTACTCAAGTATTTTCTTTATATTGTTACTTAGATAGTTCAAAACCCTGTGATGTATTATTCAGATATAAAATAGAAGTACAAAATAAACGTGTATGAATAAAATAAATATATACGCCCAACATAACAGAAGTTTCACTAAAAATATGCTATTACTTCCTAAACAATAACACCCTTTGGTCATATAATTCTATAAATGTTTTCGACTACAATTTTTCTTGAGATAAGAAACTACCTGTTCATCTCGTAACCATATGAAAAACATTTTAAAAATATTAAAAATCAAAAAATACTCACCTGAACTCGTAGAGGATGCATCATTAGAAGATGTAACATATCAGTAGGTGGCAATAACTCATTAAGTGTAGCTCCTTGTCGACGAACGGCTTGACACATAAATACAGCGAAGTATCGATGAAGTGGGAAATGAAACGATACTTGTAAGCTGTCACTCTGTATTAAAATAAAAAGATACCAAAGTTATAATAAGCTTGATAAATTTGAATTTTAACTAAATTACTTATTAATAAAAATGATGAACAAAATATTATTACAGAATAAACATTTGAATGCTTACCACATCTGGATGAGTAAGATGCGTAGCGTCTAGCCAATCTTGTAACGCTGTGAGACAAAATGATAGCACTCTACGAGTAAAAGCTACACTTTCTGGACCACGTAAATGAGAAACCAAAGCCCACATTGGATATGCGCTAGCTTCTAACTCAGCGCTGAACGCTGCATAATACGTATTAGACTCGTATTCAACATGTTCATTTAATTCTCGTTGATTTACATTCATTCCTGCAATTAATGTAACAAAGAGCTGTAGAAATTGTTTGTTTTGCAATAAATAATTTTGCAAGCGAGAATCTCCGAGTCTAAATCGCTGATTTTTATAAAACTTATGCATGAAGTAATTCTCGAAAAAATATTTGGCATGTATTTTTATTACGCAAATATCATTGCTGATAAAAATAGATCTTAAAATCGACGTTTTGTACATAGAGATCCTCCATTCTTAGTTACATTGTACGAGTGATACCTTGAAACATAGACAGAAAATCGAACCACATTTCTAAGAGTGTATCATCACTCATAAATCTAACAGCTATAGGCTTATGTGAAAGAACGTTATTTAAATCCGAAACTAGAGGCCAATAACAATGTTCTTTCATCACATGTCGCTCACAGTCTACTACATAGTGAAAATTTTTATCTGGATCTAAAAAGAAGTACAATCGTATTTAATTTTTAAAAACACATTTCAATCATTTAATAGAAGATACGTCTACATACCGTGTAAAGTATTATGAATCAATGTCTTACTCATCATGTACTTCAAAGTTATTACCATAACATGCAACAACTTTAATTGATCAACCATTTTCAATGCTAAACTTTCATTACTGAATAACTGAAATATAAGATAGGAGAATGTAAAAATAACTTTCTTATTATAAAAAAAATATTGTTTCCCTGCAACACTTACCTGAACACTAACATGCACCACTTTATTACTTAAAGTTTCAGGATTTGTTGCACGTTCAAGCATCATTGAAATTCTACTGTAATGTAATACAAATGCACGAGTAAGTGCTTCTTTGTATTCTAGATCTGGTAACATATTTAATAGCAAACAGACTAATTTTTGTGGAAATTCATAAACAACTGTCCAGAACATTAATTCTTCTAAGAAAGTAGTGTGCTGTAAATGCTCTTGTAATGATGCACATTCTGAAATAACAACATAAAATATTTATTTAATTGTAACTATATTTATTTTATCACAACTTAAAATAAGCTTTACCTTTATATTCATCAGGTGGTTCTGGATTTGTTAGAGAGTTTACTGCATTCTGATATATTTTATTGCTATCCTGACGATAACTGTCGTATTCAGGTTGTCCAGTTGATATAGAAGGATCCATAAGTTCTCTATACTTTTGTGGATTTGTAAGAGCTGATGTCATAACATGTCTCATTAAAGCACCCATTTTATTAAAATCAATAAGCATTGTTAAAAATCCATCTGCACCTTGGATTGCAACTTCATAATCTGGTCCACCCACTTTACTGCAATGGACAAAATATTTTAATATGTTATGGTTTCTTTACAAGTTTGATAAACAAGAAAATAAACAACATACCAATTTTCACGCAAATGTTGAATAAGTCGTAGAATTATTCTAGGCATCATTGCTTCTGCCACACACATTAAATTTGAAGGAGCAGCTGACTTATCAACAGCAGCTTTTGGACTATGTCTATCACAAAATCTATAAAAACAGTCACATTAAATAGTAGTGCACTTAATTAAAATAATTTTAGATAATTTTGTTTTGACCAGTTGATAAAAGTCTTACCCTGACTCTTTTATAATGGATGCATCACCACAGTCACATGCACCTCCTGCTTGACTGAGAAACATATTAAAATCATGGCCATAGTGATTGCCCTTTTTGAAACAATCCGTGCATAAAGACATACATGGTGATATAGCACAAGTACGACAACGATATGCTACAAAATTAGGTGTCCAAACCAACCCACATGTTGTAGCATTATCATACATGCTTACTGAAATATTTTAAAAATATTTGGTATAAATAAGTGAAACATTAATGTAATACTATATATATGTACCATTCTACATAAATTCAAAGGATGCACAAAATCTAAATCTACATAATGACATAAATATTTAAATATAACTAAAATTTTTTAATTTTAATAATTTACTAGTGTTTTTAATATTATCATTATACTTTTAGGACTTATAATATCCCAACACAAAAGTATTTGTTGTATTCTATGAACTTTAATCTTTTATATACTAAGATATCTTACACATCTACATTTTCATAGCTATAGCAACACATGTAAACATATGTTTGTTAGATAATCTTACTCATGCCAAATACGCAAATTGCATTATTCTTATACCACTGATTACTTTAAATAACCACAACAAAGTATTTTATTTAAGAGCATCACACAATGATCAAAGATTATATAATGATGAACTTATTAATATTTTTAATTCTCACTTATTTTAATTATGCAGTTAAATTTTACACTGTTTCTTTAATAATTTAAACATTTAAATTAAATATTATTTTTAACATCATTTATCCCAACATGTTGTTATTTCATAAAATAATAAACTTTTAAAATATAGATTATGCATGTTTCAAACAATTGTATGTAATGCAATAATATTATGCAATATATAATACATAATATATACAAACAACAAGTACGTTGTCTCAAGTATATCAATATTTGTTACGCACATGATTAATGTAATAACATTAATAATGGTACATTCAACATGTTACAAGGATACATGAAACTAAAAAAGTTTTCTATTTATACAGTTGAAGAAAAAGAAAATGTGCATGCTACCTTGTTTGGCAAATTCTTCTGGGCTGCGTCCATTACCCATTAACCACTTACACCAGTCGATGTCTTCTCTGTCATCAATAGCTTTACTAGGATTTAACAATGTATCCATTAAATCACTAAGAACTTGTGGACACTTGTCACGTGGTAACACGCTACATTCTGCATGAACCTGACGAGCCACAAAATATTTGTCATCGCTTAATGCTTCCATTACTGCTTTTTCTAGTGCTTCAATGGGATCGCTAGGATTCAAGGACATCGCGAAGAATTGACCTCGCACAGCGAGGATACCACTGCTTTTGATACGTGTTGCGGTATCCTCCGAGGATGACGAGTATACGGAAAACAAATGAACAAGTCAGGTCGAGAATCAGGTGATCCGATGTTAAAATTTCAGGAAGCCGACAGGACACCCGATAGTTGCCTGACGACTTACACCTTTTTGCGTGTTTCTCGTGTGAAAACTTCCGGGAAACCTTTAAAGTAGTGGCGGCTCGCGGATTAGAAAATTCTCAACAACCTCCATATCAGTGAGCATCTCCCGTCAACATTGTCTTCCTCATCAATTTTGACAACATGACGAAAGCACCAAGGGACCGTTACCTTATACCACTCTCCTGAATCATGGATTACTATCGACTTTCAGATTCCGTATTTCGACAAGTACTTGGTACTTGCACAATAATCGTTTTTGATACAACTCATCCACATTTACCGAACAGCAAAAGCACTCGATCACCAATCGTTCGATCAATTGACCACAGCTTATATTCTTCTACGGTACGTCTTCCTCTCTCCGATCAAGAATTTGTCTATCTTATCGACAGAACAATGACAGAGTACCAGATCTTGTCTTTCAATGAATGTATTTTCACTACGTTGCAATATGTATGCGCAGTTTATTATTCTTACCGTAGTGACTATGAGCTATATGAATAAAAAAACTTATCCAAATCGATATAATTAAATAATATTAAAAATGTGACTTTGAACATATTATTTATTCGCCTTATTTGTAATCCAATCATATATGGTTCTTTGGACAAATTCACCCATTAATGAACGTAACACCTTCTGCATGTATTTTGATATTTCGTAAAAAAAATTATAATATAAAATTATTAACTTTTTGTATTCGTATTAAGAATTAGTCTGTAATACAAATATTGATATTAATTATTATTAAACATAAAATAAACAATGATTATTAACGGTTGTTGAGAACCTATTTAAATCCCAAGAATTTCAACCAATGAATTACAAGTAAATTTACGTGGTTAGTATGGTATCCCTGGCTTCTTACGTTTCTTTTTCGTTCGGCTAATCGAGCGTGTACGTTGCTGTGATAAATAAATTTATATATCGCAGGTAATCTCATTTTCTAAAATTCATCTAATGTATATTAGTTACAAATTAGTTTTTAAAGTTAATAGTTGACCGATTTATAATAATATTTTACCTATAGCATAGTTCTCAAAAAAGGATGAAGTATAAAGTGATCAGTGATAAAGCATTAGTGCATTGTGTTCCTCGTTATTATTGTTTTGTTTATTGTATTTCAATTGTATTGTCTACAATTTGCTAATATTTTATTAAAAATAATAGTATTTGTTACTTAGACTAATAAAAAATCGATATTAAATCGTTCAAATTTGATATTCGTTATAGGTTATATTATAGTGACATTTCCGAACAAAATTGTAACTTTAGAATACTTTTACAATTATATATTAACTTAAAATTACGTTTTGTTTTTAGCCATGGTGCGTATGAACGTTCTTAGCGATGCTCTTAAAGCTATTAACAACGCTGAAAAGCGTGGAAAGAGACAGGTATTGTTAAGGCCCTGCTCAAAAGTAATCATTAAATTTTTGACTGTAATGATGAGAAAAGGTAAGAAAGTATATAAATATTTTTTTATTTTTAAAGCAATAAAAGAATTCTTTAAAATATAGTTTCTTAACTGATTGTATATATTTGTATGATCCCAATTTATTATATTTTTGCATTTTTATTACATTATTTCTAATGTTTTTAGGATACATAGGAGAATTCGAAATTGTTGATGATCATCGTAGTGGTAAAGTTGTTGTAAATCTTAGTGGAAGACTGAACAAGTGTGGTGTAATTTCACCTAGATTTGATGTACCAATTAATGATATTGAAAAATGGACTAACAACCTGTTGCCATCTCGACAATTTGGGTATGCATGTAAAAATTTATAGTGTACATTGAAAAATTAATTGATATAATCTTAACTAATGGGTTACAGATATGTTGTGCTAACCACAAGTGGAGGAATTATGGATCATGAAGAAGCTAGAAGAAAACATCTTGGAGGAAAAATACTTGGATTCTTCTTTTAATGATTATTTAATGCAATAAAAATTTCTAAACATTAAAAGTTATTTTTCTATATTTACTAAGAATAAAATTGTTCCTGCATTCCTAATCCTTACTTTCTACTATTAATTATTTTGAAACAGTTTTTAATTAATTTTTTATTTTATGTGCATTTTTTAATGCAAAAATGTTTGAGTAATAACTTATTTACTAACATGACTGGATTTTTAAAAACCAATATAACTAAAAAAGAAAGTAAACAATAGTGATAAATATAAAAGTGATACGAATTGTTTAGTTGGTATTGTATTACTGCTATAAATTTAAAAGTTGTATTTTAAAAGTACACTGCTTAGTAGAAATTAAATTTTACTATAAAATTACTTATATATTTTATATTATTATTTATAACAATGATGATTATACATCGATAAAAAATTTTAAGGAAAATTTACAGCAAATACCAACTACGTTATTTAACGTGTAGAACGCTTCTGATTGGTTAGTGTCTCATTTCGTTGATTGGTCGGATGCCACTAAACCGTTCGGGCATGCGCGTGGTTGTAATTTCAACTTTACGCCTCCTGTGAACGCAGCCGATGACGGTCAGTCAACAAAACTTTGTAATTCGAACGAAACTCGCGGACGGCTCGGATCACGCGTCGCATCGTGTAAATTTTTACTTCCCGTCAGTTTCATAATAAAAATTTTTCGATCGTGTTCTTTATTCGAATAAAAAACCGTGCAAATGAATTTCTAATAAATTTAACGGTGTTGCCAGGTGTTACCAGGTGAATGTAACCGTTTTGTGCTGCCTTACCTGGGACTTTGCTGAAGGGACAACCGTACGGAAGAATGCATTAAAACTTCAGCTTTTACATATAGTGCAATTGTTTGAGAATAAGTAATGATAACAGATGTGGAATCAAATGTTTTGACGTTTGAATTTTAACATTTCGAATATATGTACACGTTATTTGTGCGGCAATCATTGCAGAGTGCAGATCTCACAAAGATATATAACTGTTTTTTTATCATTGCTGCGATAATTCTCGTATGATTGCAACTACTAGTTTGTGCATTTTCGTTCGACAGTAATTACAAAAATTTGTTTGTACTTCGATATGTTTCGGCGCGTTTTACGTGCATACGCATAATCCCCTCAAAAAGATGCAGGATGTGACAATGAATCGCAAGAAAATATCCAATGACATATAATGTTAAATCTAGTTAGAAAATCTGTAAATTTAACGTACTAATTCGAAAGCAGAAGAAGGAAGAATCGACGAATATACCGAAAGTCAAATGGAAAACGGTGCGGATGTTTCGAGACTGTCGGTTTTTCAAAGGGAGGAGGGACTAGGAGTGCAAGTAAAAGGAATGTTGTCTCACAGGTGTACGTCGTAATGCTCTTCCGTTACGCCTACTGAAGGGAAACATAATTTCGAGGCTGAATTCGCCACGTGAACACGAAAATGCGGAGATGGTATAGGAATTGTTGGTACTCGTTCGTGTAATTCGGCCGTGCGATTATATGACGTTTCTGTGGTGAAGTGTGAGGGAAGTGCAAGTGGCAAGAGCGGTAAAGAATTTACCAGGTAACATGGAGATGCCGTGGAGAAATGCAGTGGCGGACCTGTCGACCTTCCTGAGCACGAGGACGCGGATTTTATTTGCCGCTGTCTATTTCATCTGGATCGCTGGAAGCGCCTGCGCTACTGGTGAGTTTTCGCGCCCATTTTCATCTCGTTTCTGCATTTTTCAATTTCCATTTGCTAACCGTACATTTTTACACGTGCAAAATTTTCTTTATAAAATATACTTTAAATGTAACAAAGCATATTTCTGTTACTTATTTAATCAAAATCAAATGATATTTTTATGCGTATAATCCTCTGCGATTACGTATATACATGGAAATGGCATTTGTAACTGCAGAGAATTTTTCAATTTAATTTTCTAGAAATGATAGAGCGATACCGATAACGTTGAATTTTCGGATTAAGCGTAGTTGGATGCAATACGAAAACATACGAGGCAATTATTGAAATTTATACTAACGCAGAATTTTTGGACGACAAATAATTCGTGTGCTCAGAGATCGCTGGTAATTGCCGTCGTTATTACGCGTGCAAATGGTATTCGCTTTGTCATGAAACTGGCACGAGAACAGGATATACGCTCGCTGCTACAATATCTGTGACAAAGATGAACGTTCGATGTGAACGTGCGACGACAGCTAGTTGAACGTTTCCCTAAAACGGGTCAAGCCTAATTCGCGGCGATTTAAACATCAGGAACTGCTGAGTAGAGCAAACAATGATTTCTTGGCGTTCGGCCAAATTGCTTTTATATACATACGTACACATGAGCGGCAACTGGGCGAATATTTGCCCAAACGAGCGAATCCCTCTTTCGAATCAGTGTCTGGATTTAATTACTCGATCAGTTGCAAACTGTTCCGAACTATTCATACCTTCGATGTTGAATGTTTAAAATTAATAAACATAGTATTTTGAAACTTCAAATTGGAATTTCAGAAAAAAACAGAAATTAATATTGTAGTTCAATGTGCATATTTGCATTTATCATTTTCCTACAAATATTTCTCAACCATACTCGTTAAGTTCTCGATGTTAAACTAGGTTTTTGGGCCTGCACGAAATTTTGTGTATTGAAGTGGCCCTATATCGCGTGTAGTTTCGCTTAATTATGAAGGTAATTGTGCGGTTATGTGATTTACCGCCATGATATCGATGGGTCGGCGTTCCTAGCTCTAGTAGGGTATACTGCGCTTCATTACGAATGGTATCAAGGGCAGATTGCACGTGTAATGTTGTTAAGTGGGTTCACGTTAATGGGCCATAAGTCGCTTTATGCCGTAGAACAACCGCCAAATTCCGCCACGGATATATGCTTCGTTTTTATGAATGCACCGTTGCGCCACATTTAGAATGCTCGCGAACGTTCTTGTATACTGCTTGGATCACGTGACTACTCCGTACAAGTTATCGATGTATCGATATAATTTTCATAAAGGCACATTTACAATTCGATATAATTGTAAATTATATTCGCACTTTTGCGTTTTCACGATATTCAATAAAATTCCTCGCAGCAGTGAAATATGATAAATATAACGCCCCCCAAATACCTCTACTATAGGGTGTACGAAAAGTTTCGCTGAAATTTCGAATACGAGTCCAGTATGGTAAAATGAAGTGAAACGTTCGTATTATCACGTGTTCCGAAAACGATTGCTTTTTCTAAGATACTAAATTAGCTTATACTTAGCGCGTATTATAGATTTCTATTCACGGGGTCACTTGAAACCTCTTCTACTTGTAATTTCCATGAGTTTAAACCTCTCACGAGGAACATTTCTAGCATTTATTATATTTTTCAACGTTCGTACGGTGTATTGGAAAATTGTGAAATTGAACAAAAGTTGGGAAATTAAAGGGCCTGTTGTGCATCGAATCTTTGCACGACGAAATGGAATAAATAATTAGAGCGTGAAGTATATGTGCGACGAGTGTGAACGGCGACGGCGACGATTCAAGTGGAGACGCACGTGCGCGCGTAATAAATTCGAATTAAATTACGAACGATCCGTTTCGATTATTTATATTATATATCGACAGAATGGGGGATTAAGACACCTGCGGCGATTCACACGGGGATCGGTCGGTGAACTACTTTGAACCACAACGGGGGAAAAAATAAAAATCTACGAAAATCTCTCCCTCCTTTTGTAAGTGAGAGCGTAGGAGCCACCCTAATTGAGATTTATTACGACGTTAATCCGGCCAATTGTGCGAACGAAGTTAAACCGTTGACCTCTTCGTTCACGATCGGTAAGGATATACGAAGCACGTGCCGTGGTGTTGCCGTCTCGTGCGTGTATTGCGATAAATAATGTCGCCGCCATATTATCGTAGGAAAATCTGCTCCAATTTCGCGGCCATTTTAATAAATGAAATTTACGCGCGGCAACACCCCGTGAACACTTCTCCGTCGCGTTTATTTCGGCCGAATTGTTTTACGAAAACAGAATTCTCGCGGAAATGGACCGATTAATTTTCAACGTGTTACTCCACGAGTTTTTCGTGAAAATAGAAAATTATTTCATATTTCGGTATTAATAAACTTCACGAGTTTATTGGAAATTTACCGTGTTTAATAATATTTCAGTACGGTTCGAAGTACTCAATCGAGTGATTTTTTTTTTTTTTTCAAATCGAATCAAAATGTTTTACCTTAACTCTTTGTACCAGTGGCTGTTTCTCGCATGGAAAATTAATCACTCAAAGTTCTTCTAAATAAACAATATTTAATCCATTTATTTTAACATATCACGATACACTTGCGTTCAAAGAAGTGTACATAATTATTGAAATATGAAATTTTGTGGATGGTGATTGAGAACTTTTCGAGTGTAAGGGGTTAAAACATAGCGATTCTTTCAAATCCCTATGAACGGTGGAAAAAAAAAAGAAAAGTCTAGAATTAAAAAATGCTAAGAAAATTCGAACCATATTCAAACACGACGAGAAAAATGAAATTGAAATGACAGAAATTTTTCGATCAACTTGTGCGGTGTTTCGTCCGCCCAAAATTTCCTTGCCCTATCTCTCTCCTTATCTGTGCGGGATGGTGTATCATCAATGAATGGTGTTGTTTGAAGAAAATTTAATCAATGACCGACTGTCCCCGTTCTACGAAACCGTGCGCGTGTCAGCCAGACGTGAAAATGAAACCGGTTGAGTTTGGTAATTGTTTCCCTCGTTCGATTTATGCCCGTGCAAACGCGAACCCTCCGGTGTGATGCGTTTAAACGAGGACGAGTGTGAACGGGCCGGGTCACGTGCATTGATACGTATGCAATTAAGACGGCACACGGATGCACGCGTTTTAATACTAATTATCGGCGGGTAGGGATATACACGCAGGGAACGCGTAAGTACGGTTAACGCGGGCCGAATGCGTAAGTCACTCAAGTATGCCTTTGAGTTACTCATTGTCGTATAATAATAGACTGGCTTTCTGACTGAATCGAAGGGAATGCTGGAAAAAAAAAATGCGCAAATCACGCGTTGTACACGTTCGTATACTCGTTTGTCTCTAAGTACTGTGTTAGGTTAGGTTAGGTTAGCTTTGCTCTTAAATTTAATTAAGTTCCTGTTTTCGTTTTATTTTCTTTTTCTTCTTAATTGAATTTCTTTGGTGCACAGAGTAAATGGAGGTGAAACAAAATCACTTTTTGAGAAAAAGAATGTAAGGTTAGGTTGAGTTCTAATTCGGTTTTGCTTTGTTCTTTTTTATTTTTTTTTTAGTTGGGTTGGTTTCATATGCAGAGTATTTTTACGTTAAAGGGAGTAAAACAAAATCATTTGGTGAGGAAAAAATTTCAGGTTAGGTCAAGTTTTAAGTTTAACTAAGTTGCTATTTTCGTTTTATTTTGTTCTTCCTTTTTGATCGGGTTTCCTTGGTACACAGAGTATTTCTACGTTAAGGGGGATAAAAGAAAATTACTCTTTGAGAAAAAAAATGTCAGGTTAGGTTTTAAATTTAATTAAATTCGTCTTTTCGTTTTTTTTCGTTTTTCTTAATCTTTATAGGAATCTCGTACGCTTGTTCAAGCATAATTCATTCGGTCAGCGGTGTGTGTTAAGAAATGTTTCTTAACGTAGACAAACGCCAAGGGCGAGATATTTCGAAAAGAGGAACGTATAGTTAGCCCACTTTCATAATCGCTGCTAGATACGAAAGGAGTTTTTGTTCGTTGTGTGGTGGACAAATACCGAAACGAGAATGAAAATGATTAACAGAGTGAATGTGTTATGGGTTAGAGAAGTTATTTATTAAACAATCGGATCGGTGTTAAAATGCATCTCTAAACATTACCGATTTTTTCACAGCCTCGCTGTAGTTATCGCTGTTTGCCTTATCGATGCAGAAACTCTTTATATTCCACAGACAACTTATCCTTTTCTTTCTTCCCACATATTTCTGTCGCCGTTCACAATATGAAAACGTGCTTTTAATACAACAAAAGTTGCAATCAGACAAACACTTGTCTCCGTTATCTTCAGAATTCCACCATAAAATTGCAGTAAAAGTGTTTAAAAAGTATCTACCGTTCAACATGGTCAGTGATTTTCAGCTTTCTAAGATAATATAAGATCTGTCAAAAATCAAAAAAAGAAAAGAAGAAAAATACGCGCTACATGGAAACAAGTGTCTATTCAGGTTTTTTTTTTCCATAGAAAATCATCAGGAAAATGTGAGAAATTGCAGTCTTACAAATCCTTTGATAAATGAAATTTCTGTGACAAAATTAACAGGCGAAGTTTTTATGTTCCTCGGGCGAATCGAAACGCTGAAAACTTTTGTCACGGTGCCTGATAATTCTCCGGGAAAAACGGAACTACTGTACACAGCACTTCACCATTGTCAACGCCGGTTGAACTTGATAAAACATGCGATAGCTCGGTTAAATAGCAGAGCGAGAGAGATAGAGAGAGAGAGAGGAGGAAAGAGGGTACAGTTTCACCAGTCAGATTTTCCACTGCAGGAATAATTGCATACGAGAGGATCGGCATGCATTTCGTGTGTTCATGTCCCAAGGAAGACTAGCGTTTTCGTGTTTCCAGATCGTCGGTCGGCATAATATAGCCGAGTAAAGGGCATATGAGTGCATTCTAGTGTAAAGGTAAAT